TATTTGCTATAGTCTAGAGTGAGTCACTACACTGTGGCCTACCCACATACTGATCCATGGGTCATTCACATACAGTTACTGTCCCTTTCTTGTTTATTACTCTATAAAGAATAGAGGCCAGACTCCAAGATTAACCAGGCCAGACGCCAAAGGGCTAATTTGATGGAAGAACAAAGATTAAACTGTCAGATAAACCACCTCTGCTGGAAGAGATCAGTCGTTAAGTTTCTTGTTATATTAGGATTATGATTACAATGTTAGCTACATGCATCTTGTTATCTGAAAAAGTTAATTTTCTGTTTACATTTTTCAGAAGTTTCTGCTGTATCAACTCTACAGGTAACCAACAAAAGCCTGACTTTCTATTTGTCAATGTCACTCATATGAATGTTTTATCTTGGATAACAGCAATAGATTCTAATAGAATCAATTTGTGTTGTTATGCTTTGTTTACCCCTTCCTTTAAACCACACTATCACCACCCCAGCTCACTGAAGTGGAACCTTTAGAATCTGGATTACCTCTGTGGACACCCTGACTTAAGGTTAAAATAACCAGAACTTGTTCTCAGAGAAAAAAACTGATTCTAGCAGTTGCGAACTATGTATAATGACAGTGTTGCCTGTGTTGTTTATTTATATTTAAAGAAGTTTTCTCAGAGTGTAATTCTTATAAGAATTAAATTAATAAAACAGAGCTATTCCTGTCATAATCCATTAATACTGATTCTATACTAATGTTACCAGAAGTTTGGGAGAGTCACAGTTGTCACCATAGGTTACCAGGGAATTTAAGAACAGGCTCAGACAGAATCTCAAGGACAGTTTTATTAGAGTTTAAAAGAAAAACCTCAGTTCAGACAAGCTGTAAATCTTGGCAGCTGCTAAGGAAGAAGATGAAACAGAGAAAGAGAAAGGGCCATCGTATTTGAGTTAAGCCAGTGTGGTGGTCAGTCACATAATGGACAAACAGTCACATGGCAAGGAGGAGAGCTTTAGAGAAAGAACGAGGTCCAATGTCTTCTTTGTTCAATAAATATTTTATTGAATTTTGTATATTTCATACAATACATCTTAATTTTATTTAGACCCCCCATCTGCACCCCCTATAGCCCATCCACAGGATTTCATGCACTATGTCATTCATGTTAAAGTCCATGGAGTCAAGTTTGTGTACCCAGATGCCCCTTGGTGTGAGTTCATCATCTGGAGCCTGTTCAGCCTGTCTAGTGTCACTCCCTTAAATATCAACTCTCCCTCAGGCAGCAGCTATCAACTGCCAATAGTTCTTCAGCAAGGGTTGGGTCCTCCTACCCATTTCCCCATTTCTATGCTAGTTTTTATCTGACTGAATTTGTAGGAGTTTTGAGGAAAGTGTTAGAAATAAAACATGAGGTCCTATAAACCCCACTAAAAATACACAAAGAACAAATGGAGAAAGTGAAAGAAACTTGGCAAGGCAGCTTTTACGTTTGCAACAGGGTGAGTTGTGAGGTCAGTCAGATCCAGTATGCCCAACCCTTTGGACGCTTGATGGGTTTTTATCCCTAAGGCAAAGGTACTGTGCCTTTTTCCCATAGGCTGGGTTTAATAGCACAGTCTTTCCTGGTTAGTTTAAAAGAATTCACTCTAAGGAAGGGGAAAGAGTTGACCAAAAAGGGAGGGGGAGGGGAATGCTCCACTGCCCCAGGCCATCAGGTTTGAGAACGCATCAGAGCCTTTTCTTAAACAAAATTCCTATAGGATGTGGGGGGAATTAAAAGATTAGAAATCCTTGTCACAAACCAAAAGTTTTACAAGATTTGAAAGAAAAACACTAATATTTAGTGTTTCCTACAGAAAGCATGCTTAGAAAAGAGATAGAGAAAAGATACACCTCAGTCAGTACTCAGGAGGGTGGGCAGATCCAATAGAGTCTCATGACAGCTCACAGAGACCTACCTCATTAGGAGCTAGAAATTCTGGAAAGAAAAAGTACATTATCTCATTAAAAGGTGAATTATTTCTCCTATCTCTAGCACAACTTAAGGTGAGCCTGCCTTCCTGTGAATGATCCTCTCTTCCCAAGGGAGGAATGGTTCTCTTAGCCAGCTCATTGACCTGCCTAGTAGGAATGTTGGGTCTCCATCCAGACCAAAGATTTTCTTTTCTTAAACATTATTGCAGTACCAGAGATATAAGGGGAATCTAACCAGATCACCAACGAGGCTCACTCCTAGAGCTTGTTTCTTAGGTATAAAATCTGCAGCAACATACAGCCCCACCCTCACAAAGGCCCTGATTTAGTTAAAAGCTTTACTGTCATGTTCTTGAAAATATTAATAACTTTAAAGTGCATTTTGTGAAATGAAGGCTAATAGCTGAGGAGGTATACTCAGATTACACACAAAGACCACGTCTGTGGTCAGTCCTAGCCACGTGGCATTAAAGACACTGTATGTTCATAGACCATCATGACATGTAGTGTATAAGGAATTCAGTATCATGAACAATGTTAGAGAGAAAAGGTAAAGAGAAAGAGAAGATAAACATAAAAATTGCTAGGTGTTTATGTCAATATTTTTCATGTAAATTCCATATGGTAAATTTCCCTCATTTATTTCTTATTTTGACATGTCCTTCTTGTTATTTTCCTAAAAGTTAAGCACCATAGATAAAATCCCCAGTGCAAGTCCTCTGGGCTTTAAACATGATTATCCCAAATCAATACATAATTACTCCTACCACAAACCTATAAAACTGAGGAAGGATAGATATTTAAACCAGATTATACACGGAAACCCATCAATTCCCTCCCAAACAGTCACCCAGCCTAAAGGACCCAGCTTTCACTGCGTGCAGGTACACATCACTCACATGTGCTGCTCTTCTGCTGCACATACCAGACAATGCTCAAAATGGCAACCCACCACAGCTTCAGCCTGAGCACGCCCAGCCTGTGACAGGTATGTTCTTGAGATCAGAGTCTCTTAAAAAATTCAAAGAATTTGGGATTTAATTATTATGACCTCAAAAACTACAAGGGGCAAAACTCAAAAATATCCTATATCATCATGACTCATGACAAGGCTGAGTGGAACAATTTCAGTAGTATGCCCCTATTCAGAATATAGTGATACTGTACCTCAGTATTTTTCCAGCTCTTCCCTGAAATGTAAACTTCATCTTTTGAGAATCCACATCCACATAAAGCAGCCTCTTTACAATAAACATTTGAAATAATCTCTTGGGGCAAGAATAGACTGGTAAAAACATCATAGGAAGTATAACCCTCAAATTTCACCATCCAAGTTTTTCCCGCTAGGAGCTGTGATTGTCAGAGAAAGTCTTCAGACAAATAAAAAGGTCTCTCTGATTGTATCTCATCTCTCTAAAACAGGGAGTGGTATCAGAATTAAGTACTGATAGTATACAAAGTACCATGCAACAAAAAGTTAGAAATTCAAGTACTGGACATCTAAATTGACAAGTGGTGTGAGCTACTCAAGTTTGAACTGAAAGACCTGAGAATTGATTTCATTTCAAGGCTGACAGTAAGGAGCTTTGTGGTCTGCATTTAATCCATTCACTTTTGTGAACTTTTGACTTTCCACTGGTGAGACAGAAGTGAGAATGATTATCTTACTCTCTACTATTTGGTTGTGCTATTGTATGGCAAGGGGTTCATGAGGGTGGGAGCGCGCTGCTTCCAGTGCTGGAATTTTTAATTCTATTACTTTACTCTTTCTTCAGGGACAAAATATATTTGAGAGAGATAAGACAAGAATTTTCGTTTTCAGTTAGGCATGAGAAAAAGTAAGATTGTGGATTCACCTAATGTCTGAAAGTAAAGAGGTAGATGAACAGAGACTGGGATTCCAGAATCATGTCTCTATATTATTTAAAACTACTCAGAGATTTGAAATGACCATATGACACCCATGTGTCTGAATCAAAGTTCCTCTATCTTGACACCCAGAAAATCATATTTGCAGCTATACAAGATATGTTAAAAGGAAAATGTATACAATGCAAGTTATTCTACAAATATATATATATATAATTTTAAAGTTCCTGGATATCTTTGTTGCTGTCATCATGAGATCATCCTCTGTCTTCCAGCATCTGACTCTACCAGCACCTGGCATGCTCGTTTGGTGGTCACATCTAGCTATTGCCCTGGTTGGCTCGCAGGAACATGAGCTGGCTTTACAGTAGTAGTGGATAGAAGTACTCTCCACATCTAGCATGTTTGATGTATTCTATGCCTAAATTACTGTAGACAGTCATGAATCAGGTGAATATATTCAGGTTGGCTGGCATTTGATATAAAAAGAAGCTATTTGAAATCTAGTTAGGTAGATAATTTACAAATACAGAAGACAATAAAGCATACCAGTACTACGCCAAATTGACAGTGGCATGTTGCTATGAATTTTCAGTTAATTGTTTTGGTGAATGTTGACAAAGACCTGGGTATCATTTGCATCAGTGGGCAAGGTAGAGATCAGAATGGCACAAAGATGTTCTCAACACAAGAGGATTTTGTAGTGAAGGAAATAAAATCAAAAGTTAACTAAGAACTAGGTTAGAAAGGGAAATTCAAAAAAAGAAAAAAACAGAAGACTGCAAAGAAAGCTATGTCTCTGGGCATTTGGTTGGCATAAACTAGAAAACGAACCAAGAAGTTTCCTCAGTTATGTGTGGAAACGAGACAAGCAAATTATATGCAGGATGTGGTAAGAGACAAATCAAAAAGGGTTGATTAATTCGGTGAATAAACGCCTGGCTTGGTGCTTGGGACTTTAAATCCATTACCTCCATTGGTAAGCACAGGAAAGAAAACAAAACTATATTTTATGTGACCACCTTCTCTTGACCTAGTTAACAAAATAAATATTTTCCCAGTTTAAAAAGAGTTTTTCATAGAAAGGTCATTATTTTAGGTGAATCAACGACATACCTGATGCTCTAGGGCAGATGTGCCATTCCACACTGAAGAGTGCCCATCTTTGGTCAAGGATGTCAGCTTCCAACATGAGTGACAATGGTCTCCCAACAACACTCTTCCTGACAGGCATCCCAGGACTGGAGTCTTTTCACATCTGGATTTCAATCCCATTTTGTACTGCATATCTGGTAGCACTCCTGGGCAACGCTGCCCTCATCCTCATCATCAGCACAGACAGAGCTCTCCATGCACCCATGTACCTCTTCCTCTGCCTTCTCTCTCTCACGGACCTGGCTCTCAGCTCCACCACTGTGCCCAAAACACTTGCCATTTTATGGCTACAGGCTGGAGAGATCTCCTTTAGCGGATGCCTAGCCCAGATGTTTTGCATCCATTCCATCTATGCATTGGAGTCCTCAGTTCTTCTGGCCATGGCCTTTGATAGATACGTGGCTATCTGCAACCCGTTGAGATACACAGTTATCCTCAACCACACTGTCATAGGCCAGATTGGCTTTGCTGGGATATTCCGTAGTGTGACTGTTGTGTCCCCCCTTGTCTTCTTGCTGAGGCGACTGCCCTACTGCGGTCACCGTGTCATGGCTCACACATACTGTGAGCATATGGGCATTGCTCGACTGGCCTGTGCCAACATCACTGTCAATGTCATCTATGGGCTGACTATGGCTCTGCTAGCTGTGGGTCTGGATTCCATCCTCATCGCCATCTCCTATGGCTTCATCCTCCGTGCTGTCTTCCGTCTTCCATCACGTGATGCCAGGCACAAAGCTCTGAGTACCTGTGGCTCTCACCTTGGTGTCATCCTGGTTTTCTACACACCTGCCTTCTTCTCTTTCCTCACCCATCGTTTTGGTCACAACAGAGTGCCCAAGCATGTGCACATCTTCCTGGCTAACCTCTATGTTCTGGTACCTCCTGTGCTCAATCCCGTTATCTATGGAGCTAGAACCAAGGAGATTCGGGGTCGGCTTCTGAGAATGTTTCACCTGGGGAAGGGCTTGGCATGAGCTCCAAGCAGAAGCTGAAGATGGTAAAATATATGAGTGGAATAAACATCAAAATCAATGTATGTGGATGAAGACCTGTGATGTGGTGGCAAGATAGGAGAAGAAATGTTTGAAGGAAGAGATGGGTCAGGTGAATGGGATTTGTTAAAGATATTATTTAGATGTTCTGGGGACTATTCTTAGTTGCACAGATAGAAGATTACATTTGTTTTGTCACCTCAGAAGGAGACAAAATGTACCAAATAAACATAGAAAACACTGCATCTTGTGGTTGGAATATTCTACTTGGACAATATGAAAAAAACAGAGGCCAAATTTTTTAAAAGGCATCCAGAGTCAATTTAGATCTAAATTCTAAAGCTCTAGACATAGGTCTAAAGCACCTGCACACAGGTCTGAAATCTGTGCTTGGATCTGAGTGTGGTCTCCTTCACTTAGCTTTCTGCTTGGAGCTTATCTTTCTATGGCAAGCAAAGTCGCTTTCATATGGAATGAAAAATCGATAAGGATAATGATAATGCCTAGCTTTGGGAATTGTGATGAGGACTAACTGAATTAGTGCGTATGTGCAAACAATCTTGCCTAGTACAGCAATGAACATGGATGAACACATACTGCCATAGCAGGGTGTAGTCTTTTCTCAATATAGCCATGTGTTTATTTATACAATATATAATATACATATATATTAGCATGCAGGAAATTTGGTGAGGGTTATCAAGGGAGATGCAGATATGGGCAAGGATCTGCATATGATCGTATGAAAATTTGCAGAAATTCAATAAAAAAGGAAAAAGAAATCATTCTTTAATCCCAAAGTAAACTGAAAAAAAGTATATAGGTCTTTGTCTATCTCTTACTGCTATCTCTTTGGTAATAAGGTTATCTTATATCTTCTTTTCAATCTTTAGACATGCTTTTCTTTAATTTTTTAATGTATTTAAAATACCTGGCAGAAATTATTGGTTTAGTAAACCCATTGCTTGATTGTCCTCAAGGACATTATCTTCTCGTATTTTTTCTTGTGTATGGTCCACTTTCCTTTTTTTCTATGTAACAAAAACTTGTGCTGGATATCAGTAAAAGACACATAGAGGGCAAATGGCACATGAAGATGTGCAATACCATCAGACATCAGGAAATGCAATGCAGAACAGTGAGTGAAATGAGCATAACGTGCATGCAGGTTTGGTGGAGCTAGAATTTTCAAATATTGCTCATCAAAATGTAAGTTGTTAACTACTTAGGAAAATTGTTTGTAGTCTATTTTCCTAAAACATAAGTTACTGATAATGAAATCAATCTAACCCTAGATACCTAAAAGAAAATAAATACCTACCATGTAGTGGTTAAAATGTGACTTGACCCCCATGGACGCCAAGTATTTGAACACTTGTTCAGTTGACAGCACTTTTGGCGGAGGATCATGGAAATTTTAGGAGATATGGCCACGCTAGAGGAAATGCATCACTTTGAGAGTTTATAGCCTTGCCCAACTTTGAGTTTGTGTTCTCTGCTTCCTGTGTCTACTCGAAGATGTCAGTGTTCGGTTTTCTGCACCAGCTGCCTCCTGCCATGCTTCCCCACCATGATGGACTCTTATCCCTCTGGACCCATAAGCCCAGTAAATTCATCTTCCTGTAAGACGCCTTGCTCCTGATGTCTTATCACAGCAACAGAAAAGTAACATACATACCAATATAAATAAAGAAAATTTTTCTGTTGATAATTAATACATTTTACAAATAGTCACATCCAAGGAACTGTAACCAAAACACTAGAATGAAAAACTTATCTCAGTAAAGTGAATCACACAAGATTTTTTTTTTTTTCCCAGTGCATGTAAAAGTTGCTCACACTATAACATAGTCTGTGATGTGGGCATTAGCAACATGTTGAATGAAACAGTATATGTACCTTAACTGAAAAATAATTCATTAGCAGGGCACAGTAATAGTAATGTTCAACTGTAGTCCAAACACTGTGGAGGCTGAGGCAGGACGAGTTCATTAGAGGTGTTGTAAATATGGTTCCAGTAGATTTACAATGCAGGGTCCCACAAATTGACAATTACAAAAAAGTAACACAGTACAGTAGATGTTGATTAAAGATTCACAATAGTCAAAGAACAGAGAATAAAGGACTGTGGAGTACTCAGCACCAAATGGGCCAACTGTACCATAGTCTATTCCACTTCTTCCCGGTGAGTCTCAGGGAACATTGGGAAGAGGAGACAGAAAATTCTGAGAACTGTAGGTTAAGGAACACTGCTGTGAAATCATGTCTTCTGGACGTGAAAGGGCCTTCATACTCAGGAACTCATAACTGCTGTGGCTGCCTATACAAGATCAGTAGACAGGATCAAAATACATGGTACACATGTACGAAATTTTCAAAGAATGGGTAAGTAAAATATATTTCTGATTATATTCATTTGGGGCTGAAGAAATGACTTAGCAGTTAATAACACTGACTGCTCTTGCAGAGGACCAAGGTTCTAATCCTAGCACCCACATGGCAGCTAACAACCTTCTGTAACTCCAGAGAAGTCGATGCCCTCTTCTGACCTTTGCAGGCATTGCATCTCATGAGTGCAATTACATGTAGGGAATAAGTATAAAAATAATAAATTAGTTTATTTTATAAATTACATTCACTTATGCTGTTCAGTATGATATTTTGAAATATGTATTCATTATCAAGTTATTAAACAAAGCTATTTTCTTTCCGCATCACCTCACATATCTACCATTAACTTGTGGTGAAGGTACCATCGACTCAGCAATTTTCAGATGCATAATATAGTCCTACCAACTATAGTCACTACATTGTACAGTAGATCTCTTGAACTTGTTCTTTTTGGAAGTAATTAAAAATTTTATCCTTGAAAAAAAGAAATGTGGATGAAATACAATAAAATACACCACCATAAAGGAAGTCCTCTCTATACTAAGGAATTAACTCCAGACATCAGATCCCCCTCTCTGCCCCAACCCCCTGCCTTTTGCTTTGCTGCTATTTGTTGCTGTCATTGTTCCTATGATGGCCTACTTAGTGATTTCTGAATTAAGTCTACAACATCAATTTTTATCACATATACCCACTCAGTCTCTATGTTGGCTTAGTGGTCAATTAATAATTGGGAACATATTTCCTTAATGGTTTAGAAGCAAAAGTTTTTCTGTTTGGCTGGAGCCAGCAGCTTGCCTGCGTAGGTTTGGCTGCTGTGCCCACTGCGCCCTGACTCCCCCAGCCACATTCACCCTCCCAGCTCCCCCCTCATCTCTCCTCCTAGCAGGGGGACTGGCACATTTTCTGTCTTGGCACCACAGACCTCTGTACTGACCTCTTGGCCCAAACTCTCTACTGCTTTCTGATCCTTTGCATCCAGACCAAGTCAATTCCTCCCTCTAGTCCCCACCTCCCTTTGCATCTCTAGGAGGCCCAGACCCACAGATTCCTGGAACCAGTAGCTTGCCTGGATAAGTTTGGCTGTGTCCACTGTGCCTTGACTCCCCCAGCCTCATTCACCCTCCCAGCTCCACCACTCCATCTGTCCTCTTAGCAGGGGCACTGGCCCATTTCTTGCCATGATACCCCAGACCTGTGGACTGACCTCTTAGCCCAGAATCCCCACTGCTTCCTGATCCTTTGCATCCACACCAACCCAATTCCTCCCGTAGTCCCCAGGAACCCTGGGGCATCTTCTCACCCCCGTCTCCCTTTCCATCCCTGGGAGCCAGCATCCCTTTGCATCCCCAGGCCAGGCCAGCCCAGCCCTCAAATTCCTAAGGCCAGCATCTTTCCTGGAAGGATCCAGACCTTAGAAGAAAGCCTGAGAGCATCTGATCCTCATCTGATTTGGGCCTCTGGGGGACCTCATGAGCAGCAAGATGAAAACAATTTGGCCACTCCAATATAAAATCAAAAGAGAGAACCTGAAGCCTAGACCAACCAGCTTTTCACGCCCTACAAGCAAACCACAAAGGCACATAACGTTTATAAAAGAAGCAGATCTAAACTCAACAAAGGAAGGCTTGAGTCTCACACAAGAACCAGAATCTACAAAAGAAATCCATATGTCAAAGTCACAGAGAAAATGCGATAACATGAAAAATCAAAATAATATATCCCCACCATGTACCATGAGTCCTCTAGAGGAGTACAATGAGAACCCCCTAGAGATAACACAGGGCATGGTACTAAGAAAAAAAATCCGGCATTGAAATTTTAATATCTGACAGAAAAGACTTTAAAACTAATCAGAAGAGATAAAGAGGGCCACTTCATTCTGATCAGAGGAACAATTGACCAAGAAGGTATTACAATCATGAACATATATTCTCCAAACTCTACTGCACCCAACTTCATAAAAACAGTACTACAGGACTTTAAGACATAGATTAATCCCAACTCATTAATAGTGAGGAACTTCAATACCCCATTGTCTCCATTAGACAGGTCAACAGGACAGAGAATTAACAGAGAGACATTTGAATTAACAATACCATACATCAAATGGGCCTAACAGACATCTACTGAGTATTGCATCCAAGCATCAAAGAACATACTTTCCATTCAGCACCCCATGGAACTTTCTCCAAAACTGACCATATACTGGGGCACAAAACAAACCTCAAAAAATACAAAAAGAATGGAACAATTCTATGCATTCTATCAGACCACAATGTAATAAATCTTAAAATCAATGCTGGAAGAAACACTACTAACTACAGGAACACATGGATATTAAACAGCACACTCCTGAATGATGAATGGGTCAAAGGAGAAATGAAGAAAGAAATAAAAGTATTCCTGGAACTAAATGAAAAAGATAATACAACACAACAAAACCTCTGGGGCACATTGAAAGCAGTACTTAGAGGGACATTTATAGCCCTAAGTGCCTACATGAAAAAAAAAAATCAGGAAGAATACAAATAAATGCCTTAACATTGTAACTCAAGACACTTGAAAAGCAACAGCAAATGAAACCCAAA